CTTTGTTATCTCTTGCCTTTCAATTTTCACTTCTTCCTTATTAGGTTCCCTACAAAGAGATACCCATGATTTTCTAGTAAAAGAACATTCAAATATATATATATATATATATATATATATTTATGTTACTCCACAATTGCTCTACAAAACACAGCTGATAAGAGGAAATGGTTCCATAATCTAATAACTCATCTTGAGTGCTTAAGCAATTTTGGATAGCCAGCCACAAGATAAAAGGGTGCCTATGGGATGTGCTTAGCAAACCACATCAGTTTGTGCCCCCCCATCTGTGTGATTTGCTTCAAAGGTGTTAGAATTTACCATCACCTACCACCAATTTACCATCACATTTACCATCACCTACACCACCTACTCCTCACCTACTACACTCACCCTCTCCTATATAATGAGCCACTCACCATTTGTAATATGTATCAATACAACAAATCAATATCAATCAATAATACAATTCTCTTTATACATTGATTTTCAACAAAAGGAAACAAGCAATTCTGAAACAATTGATCTAACATGAGATTTGTCATCGGGTTTTGTAGCAATAGATGAACTTACAACAAATCAAAGCTGTAAAAAACAATGGAACTATTCGAACCATTTAGTTCTGTTTAAAAATTTAATCAGTGTGTTTGGTTTGAGTTTTTTGGATTAAGTTTTTTGATAATTGAGTTTTTTAATTTTTGTATTTTTTTGTTTTTAGTGAATATTTTTAAAATTTTAAACATTTTTTTTTTTACTTTTTTAAATGCATCTTACTTATATGTATCCAAAAAATAAAAAATTTGTGAAAAAATATTTTAAAAAATTAATAAATATATAAAAATACAGAAAATATACTGAATTCTCGTATTTTTTTTGTATTTTTGGTATTTAGTGAATTTCTAAAAGGTTTTTTTTTATTTTTTTTTACTTTTTAGGTATATTTATGTTAAGTATGTCTAAAAACTAAAAAAATTGTTTAAAATATTAAAAAAAATCAGTAAAAACAAAAAACACGGAAAATAAGAAACTATAATTTTTTGAAAAATATTTTTGAAAAATGATAACCAAGCAAGGTGGCATTGCATAACCTTGATTTGTTTTCATGGCATTCGCAATTCTCAAACTACGCCATTCTTTAATGCGCTTCATATAAATGAGTCTTCACAAAATGGCTAAAACATGGGAATTCTTATTATCAACATAGACAAAAATTAAAGAACATAAATTGGCAACACATGCTTATTTTTGTGTTCTATGATAATTGAGAACAAGTAGCTGGTCTATTTTCATTGAAATCAAAAACTTCAATATACAAATAACATTTTCATAGTAATTGCTTGCAAGTTGCAAGAAAAGCACCAAAAACTTACCAGTGCCGAGTTTAAAAATCCTCCAGACCGCTTGTCAGGAGACCCAAACTCAACATCATTCTCAAGCATCTTCTCATAGGGAGCCTTAATGTCACTAGGACGAGTTGTGGTATACACAATACGCTTCGTTGGGGCAACACTCCGCAACAACACCTCTGAATCCTGAAACTTGCTACTACTAGTGCTGCCCACTTCACTTTCCACACAACCCGGCTCTGATTTCAACTTAAACATTAAATGAACACCATCCACTTCAACTTTCTGCACCTGATTACTATTAATCTTATTCAAAAAATCACTATATGGAACGCTCACGAACGTCGTTGGAGTCCTTGGCTCTGAACCGGGTAATGGAATCCCGGGCCGAAGCAACCTCATAACAAACATAACAATCCCCAATTGCAACAACAACATACCGATCTCTTGCGCCTGAATTATCGGCTGCCACCGCCACTTCCCGCCCTTCCACCACCCACCTTTCCCTTGCTTCTCTCTCTTCGCCGGCGGCGAAGAGCTGGAACTCGAACTCGGTGGCTTCTTCTTGCTCACTCCTTTACTCTCACCGCCCTTGGGTTCGCTCTTCTCGCCCGAGCTCGCCTTCGAGTCGGTGTCTTGCTCGCAAGAACTGTTAGCTTGAATTCGACTCTCTCTCCAACCTTGGTTCATCAGAAACCCTCCTCCCCACAGGTCGAACCTATTTAAGCCCCAAGAAACCCTAGCATGTCTGTACATGTTAATCGACATCGAATTAGAAAGAAATCGACTTGGTTCTTGGTGAAAAACCCTAAATTTATGACAGAAAAAACCATATCTATACAATTTGTTGCGATTATTGTCCGAATTTACAGATAATTTTCTGTAAATTACAGGTCCCAGAGGTTCGATCGCTGGCATTTGGAAACCCTAGAAAATGGGAATATACAAAGAATCAGAAAGAACAGAGTAGAAGACAGAGAAGAGGGAGATTGAAGGAGTAGTGGGGAGGATGAAGATGGACTATCCGATTAACTGGTTCAGCGGTTGAACCGTTAACTTGGCGTCGCGTGTTCGTTTTTTTTTTTTTCAATGTGTTTCTCGTTATCCAGATTCTATTGTATGGTCCTGTGATTGGCTCTCGTTCTGGAATAGAAATCGAAGGACGGAGGAGTGTAAAAATGCATGTGGTTCGTGGGAAGCAGGTTGTTTTTTTGGCTTTTTGGCTGTTTTGGTTTTTTTGGCTTTTTTGGGAAGGGCTAAAAGTTTGGTTTGGGAAGGGTTTTTTGGTTTTTTTGACTTTTTTTGTGAGAGAATAACGTAATGATTATAGGTTGGATGTGATGTTTTGTTTGTTATGGCTAAAATAGCCTATTTTGTTTTTTGTGGCTAAAATAGCCAAAAAAGCCTGAAAACCATCTTGCCAAACAGAGGCTTAGATTTGTTTGGGCTTGGGTTCGAGTTCAGTTTGAGATTCTAAGCTTGGGTTTGGGTTATCATTTTAAAGTTTAGTTTGGCCTGTGACTTAATTCATTGATCCATTTAAGACTCACTTAAAGTTTAGCCCATCGAGACCCAATAATTTTTAAAAAAAAAATAATAAAAAAAAATTCAAAGCCCAGCCCACCAGCCCGAATACTCTCTGAACCTGGACTTAATTTTTTAATCTGTGAGCCAACCTCACTAATCCAAATTTTAACAAGAACTCACGAGACCTGATATAGATCGAGTCGGGCCAAATTTATACCTCAGATTCTCTGTATCAGCGTGTGTGTGCGTGCGCGCATGAATTATTGAGATGGTTTGCGGGGCACGTATAGAGATTGAGGCAAGCGAACGGCAAATTACAATCTGCACGAGTGTTTGCAAGTTCAAAACAGGTGCCACTCTTACATGCATGCATACATATGATGCGTACCTTTCAAAAGGGCATACTTTATAATTTAAAAAAATAATAATAAAATAGTTTTAATTTTTTAAATCATAATTAAAAAATATTATAATAAAAAATAATATGAGACATAATTAAAAATTTTATAAATCATAATTAAAATAATGTCATAATTAAAGAAGAAAATTAATCATAATTAAAAAAATATTATTATTAAGAATAAATATGAAACACTCTTATTTTATGGATGAACACTTTCCTTTTCTTTTTTTTTCTTTTTTTTTTTGGTTTTTAAACATCATTTTATCCCTAGTCATCAAATTATAAGAATATATAAAATTAAATCTATTTCGCCATTTTTTTCCCCTTTTGATCACCAAATCAAGGGTTGGTTTGGCAAGTTCAAAATAATCCAAAAAGTCAATAAATTACACAAAAAATAAAAAAGACATTACTATTCACAAATAAAAAATATTTTATATATTTTTATAATACAAATCGACTGAGCAACATGACAGCCATACTTGCTGTAGGGATGTATTTTTCGAATACCAACACGTGGCATGGTGACGCCGACGTGTCAGTCGAGGTGCCACGTGTCGTGGTAGTTATGCCGAGGTTATCTTTGGCGAGGCCGAGGTGATCTCCGAAGATATCGGAATCCGAGATAGGCAGATAAATGGATAAGGGGCAAGAATCCTAGATAAAAGAGAAGACTTTGCTAAGATAAGGATAAAACTCTTAGGGAGTTTATCTTTATTCCTTGAAGAGTCCAAAGTTGACATTGAATTGGAGTCCATAGAAGTCAGACTTCTAGTGGGACTTGGGTTGAGTAAACTATAAAAGAGAGGCACCCCCGTGGGTCTAAAGTACGCAGTTTTATACTCAAGCTTGTAAGTTTAGCACTTGATTATCTTTGAGAGATATACTGACTTGATCGTCGGAGTGCCCCCGGGTGGAAGAGCCACCGCCGGAGCCTTTTCTTTCTGTTGCAGGTTCACTGAAGCCATCTATTCTGCCGGTGCTCTCCAGCTGATTACTAAGCGGACAGTGTAGTCAAAAAATCACCCACACAATTTGACGCCGTCTGTGGGAATCTTAGAAGAATAGATGGCCAGTGACGGACAGAGGCAAAACATTGGGGGCAACACTCTTGCTGGGAGTGGCAGACCAATTGATCTTGACTTTGAAGGAGACAACCACAACACAGAAACTCATGGCCAGGGCCACGGAAAGAAAGACGTCGGCCAGGAGGGCAACACTTCAAAGAAGACAAACCAAGGCAAGTACTATAACGAAGATAACCTTCAGGTGTGGAGAGATAGGTGCCTACGTAGGGATGAGGAAGTAAAAGACTTGGCAAACAAGTTGGCGGACCTACAGTCGGTCGTCAACTTCATGATGCAAAATAATGTCATGCAGCCACCATACCCACTGCAGGATACACCGATGCCAGCAACCAATGCCCAGAAGGGAGGAAGAGGGATAATCCCCGAAGTCCCTTAGCACACCAGGAGCAGAAGGCACTCACACCGACCTTCTAGGGAAGCCGGACGAGAGGAGCCGAGGCAAGAAGAGTCCCGAAGGACACATCGAATGAAGGATCCAAGGCCCAAAGAACACCGGCATGTTCAAAGGCAGGCACTCTACTTTGACACAACCCATGCAGAAAGATCGAAACGGGCCCACCACTAGGCCGAAAGTAGTGTGCCAAAAAGATTGAAGTCCAGAGATAGCCGAGCTCCAGGTAGGAGTAAGGAAGACTTGAGGGATTACCTCAAAAGGAGGCAGCAGAATATTGAAGCCGATGTGACATCCCCAGTTAAGCCGAGAACACCGTTCTCGGTGGAACTGGACAAATTCGAAGCACCAAAGAGATTCAGTATGTCGAGATTCCAAATTTATGATAGTAAGTCAGATCCCAACTTTCATGTTGAACTATACCTAAATTCCATGGCGTTATATAGTGGGAACGAGCCATTGCTCTGCAAAGTATTCCCCTCATCTCTTTGGAGAAATTGCATCCGATTGGTTCCATAAACTACCGAAGGGAAGCGTAAAGACGTGGGAAGGCTTGGCCGAGATGTTTGTGGCCAGGTTTGTAACGAACAAACTACAGCCCTTGAGGGTCGACGCCCTGATGGCTTTAAGAATCACCAAGGAAGAAGGCCTTAAGGCCTACGCGAAGAGGTACTACGAGATATTCAATCGAATACCCGAATACAACCAAGAAGTAGCAGTCGTGTCTTTCAAGAATGGCCTGAAAGATGACTGCCCACTACGAAAGTCTTTGGCAAAAACATTGCCAAAAAGCATGGAAGAACTCATGGCGAGAATCGAGAAGTACGCCAGAGCCGAGGAAGATACGTCGGGAAACAAAGAGATAAAGCAGGAGAAGGGAAACGGCTTGCCGAAGCGAGGCCGAGGTAGTAACGGGCCGACCAAACAAGAAACAGAATTGAATGGTAAATAGGCAGTGACGACGGTGTTCCGAATCCCTATCCATAAAGTCCTGGATCAAATACGAAACCAGCCCTATTTCAGGACACCAGCAAGAGCACCAGGGGAATTTATGGGAAGAAACGTTGGTAGGCGCTGTGCTTACCACAATGAAAAAGGACACCCAACTCAGGGCTGCAGAGCCTTAAAAGCACACTTAGAAGATCTGGTAAGGCAAGGCCATCTGAAGGACCTTGTTGATGAGGCCAGGACAAGAGAAGAATAGGCAAGATTGCCTCAAGCACCTACAGCTCCGCCTCCCCCAGCACAACAACCACAGGTAGAAGGACCACGGGTGGTTAATGTCATCCACTCAAGAGTAGACGAAAACGACATTCGGGGAGAAACCTAAAGAGTAAAACACCTGCAGCACGTGAACCAGGTCGGATACAAAAGACTTTGGCCTGAAGAATGCCAATGACTGATGATAACTTTCACTGAAGCCGACCTGGAGTTGGTCCAACATCCGCATAATGATGCCTTGGTAGTATCCCTCCAGGTTAGGAAATGCCAAGTGAAACGCATCCTGATAGATCAAGGCAACTCTTGTGACATCATGTACGTCAGATGTTACAAGGAGCTGGGCCTTCATCCTGACGACCTGGAACAATCCAGCAACCCTATGGTCGGCTTCAATGGAACACCGACATGGCCACTGAGTGCAGCAAGCGTGGAAGTACAAGCGGGTACTAAGAAGATCAAGACAGAATTTATGGTGATTGACACACCCTCACCATATAACATCATCTTGGGAAGACCATGGTTACATGCAATGGGGGCAGTTCGCTCAACATTGCATCAACTACTACGGTTCCCCACAGAGCATGGGATTGAAGAAGTCAGAGGAGATCAACTGCAGGCAAAAAGTTGCTCCATGGCAGCAACAAAGTCTACTTGCAGCATTCGAGAGCCAAAAGAGGCAGAGATTGAAGACGAGGACATAGAGGTCCTAGATGATGTCGGCAAGGAGCCAACCGAAAAGAGTGAAGAGACACTAAAGAAAATCCTTGTCCAGGAGGGCGACGAAGAACGCTTCTTTCTTCTCGGTTCAGGCTTAACCGAGGAAGAGGAAAGAGAACTGGAAGATTTTTTAAGAGCCAACATTGAGGTGCTCGCCTGGACACCTTATGAAATGCCTGGCATTGATCCCAAGGTCACTTGCCACAGACTGAATGTCGACAGGTCGGCAAAACCTGTGATTCAACGAGCCAGAAGACTGACGCTGATGCACGTCGAAACAGTAGAAGAAGAAGTAGACAAACTTCTGAAGGCCAGGGCCATCCGAGAAGTTCACTACCCGACATGGCTGTCCAACACAGTAGTAGTGAAAAAGAAGAACGGCAAATGGAGGGTCTGTGTAGACTTTACCAGCCTCAACCAAGCCTGCCCCAAAGACATCTTTCCTCTGCCCAAGATTGACCAGCTAGTAGATGCAACTTCAGGGCACGAAAGGATGAGTTTTTTGGATGTATACAGAGGGTACCACCAGATTGCCATGTACCCTCCAAGCGAGGAGAAAACCGCGTTCATCACCCCTAAAGGCCTGTGCTGTTACAAGGTAATGCCTTTTGGGTTGAAAAACGCAGGAGCAACCTACCAAAGGTTAGTAACAAAGATGTTCAAGCACCTGATTGGCAAAACGGTAGAAGTCTACATCGATGACATGGTCGTGAAGACCAAGGAATCTAAGGGTCATATTGCCGACCTAAAAGAAGTCTTTGATATACTTAAAACATACCGGCACCGACTCAACGCATCAAAGTGCGC